CTTGCACTTCATGTTTTTTGTTTGTTCCCAAACAGTGACCAAATAGAAAGTGATTTTTAATCTTCTTTTCTTTGCTTGGGTTAAGCTGTTTCAGTATGGATGGTGTGAAGTGATAGAGTTGTCAGTTTATATGAGAAAAATAGCCAACAACTGATCACTTAACAGCAACAATCTTCTTAATCATTGGAAAATTATTGTGGCAATGTTTACCAATTTCTGATACTTCATAGATCACGCTATTAAATTGTTTATGTGTTTTTTTATGCTTCTGCACCGGTGACAGCCAGTGGCCGGAGGCATTATGTTTTTTTGGGGTATCTGTCCTTCCATCTGTCCCATTCCCGTGAACACAATATTTTGAGAATGCCTTGAGGGAATTTTGGTCAAATGTTTTGGTACAAACTTTTACTTGGACTCAAAGATGATCTGATTTGATTTTGGTGCTGATAGGTCAAAGGTTAAGGTCACAGGACCTCATTTTACTGAGAATGTCCCATATGATGACTGCTCTTTGGAAATTTCATTACATCTGGCACAATTCACTTGGACTCACTGATAAATGTATTAGATTTCAGTGGTCAAGGGTCAAGGTGGCTTCCTTTGAATGTGAGTTCTCAAGAGGGAATTTCTTCCACTTTTGATCAGTTGTCACTTGGACTCAGAGACAAAGGGATTTTTTTTCATTTGTCAAAGGTTCCAGTGACCTTATGTGAATCTCGAAAAAAGTACAACGTAAGTAGAAATGTATACACAGAAACTGCACTGGTTGGCAGAGGCATACAACTGCAGACCTGTAATTCTAGTGGTTTGTAACAAGTTAGTCATTCTTGCTCTCTCTAAAACATTTAGTTTTATGTGTTAGAGCTTCAGTATATGAGCCCAGTAATGGTTAATTTTCAATAAGTTTAAAGAGGTTATTTAGAGTTTTAAGTAAATCTAAAAGTAAGAATTAGACAGAAGCTTTAATTGACAATCTGATTAAAATAATGACAATGTGGTAACAGCTATGGGGCTCGTACATATTATAGCTCTAATGTACTAGAATCAATCAACCATTGTAAAGTAAACAAACATCAAAGGTCAGAACATCAATTAAGGGATTAGAAATGTTTTTGAAATGTGACAAAACTATGTCAATTACTGCCTGTTCGCCTTGTGTGTTGGCATTAAAGATAACATTTTACATGTTCTTTCCTCATGTCTAACTCTATGTGCCCACTCCCACCCTGAGCTTCAGTGTGTTCTATACATGTTCACACATTCTTACTCATGTTTTATATACAGCAGGATTTTGGGCCCTATTTAGTCACGCTCCCTAGTCAACCACAGGAACTCTTAATGCTCCTGTGGGAGATTCTGTTGGAAACAAGTGAAGCTTTGTTCTAATTAAGCGCAGAAGAGTTTCAGACCATTCTTCTGTCTGTTTTAAATAACAAAAATCTGTTTTTTCATTTGGTTTTTGATGAAGTGAAGGCTGTCACTGAGAGACACAGTACATTTATCTTACTAGACACAGCAGGGTTTCCAAAGTCCTTCAAAGCATCTTACATATAAATTCTCTTAAAGTGAATTGGCAGCACAGCATTGGTTCTTACTTTGAATGTTAACTGAATAATTTCAGTGCTTGCTTGATGTCATTAGTCTGGAAAGGACAGACGACTGCAGGCAAAAGAGGAATAGGAAATGTCCATGTCATTGGTAATTGGGCTGTGCAAGTCACAACTGGCAAAGTCCGTTTCTTGATACATGACCATTGCTTTCCACAGATTTGATTTCCTATTGCTTTTCTAGACAATGAAAATATTGATGCATGTTCAAAGAGAAAGGAGTAGCTGCTGCAAAATTGAATTAGGTTATTTTTGAGTGCTTTCTATTTATGATTTGTAACACCAGTCTCTTAACAATGAAACAGTTTGTAAGAATTTCCATCATGGTTGAATGGATCTTATGTTTAGCATGTTTCTGATTTTGTGTTGTATTATTTTCTGTTGTAGTGTCACTGGAAGTGCAGATCACACCAAGTCACGGTGAGATTAGCCTCGGAGAGTCCAAATTCTTCATGTGTGAGGGTAAGTATATCAAACCGTCCTGACTATTTTCCTTTTAACTGCTCAAAGCTCAGTGGGTCAGTCAGTACAAACTCATGTTATACAATGTGTGTTAAACATTGTTCAAACTATTCCAACT